CAATCTCCACTGTGCCCAGAGGGTTGTTGCTAGCCATGACCTGGTGTTGTTCCCTTTCTGTCTGCTTTTCAACTCCTCCTGTTCTTCTCCCAGCCCATGTTTGCTTCCTGTGATTTGCAGAGACAGGTGGGTGAGTTCTACAGGAGGAATGGAGCAGGCCAGGGGTAGGTTAAGTCCCTACCTGTGATCGTATCAGCCTTGGGGCCCTGTTTTCCTTCCAGGCACTTGGATGGGTGTAGCCTGTCGTGATTTCTAGGAATATATTCCTGTTTAAAAGAGAGATGTTTAAAGTAAGCCATGGGATGGTAGTGAGGAGTTAGGTGCCCATCTTTGGATCTAGGAAAACAATCCATTTCCCATGAGCAGCAATTCTGAGAACTTGTTTGTAGCTTGCAGCCTCAAACTTGAGTTGGGAACCCCATGGATCCTAGTCTGGCCTAATCCATGCCAGAAAGCTGCAGATCTGCAAGTCTCCTCTTAAATTTTCCCTAGTTGTCTCCCTTGTCCCTGGTCTGCCCCTCTTCTCCAGCCACAGAACAATAATCGGTCATTGTTATCTCACTGGGTGTTTGCAGAGCACTCCACAGCCATTGTTGGGAGTTTTTCCTCTTATTTGCAAAGTGCTTTACAGCTATTATTACAAGACTGTCCTGTCAGAGTGGAGAGATGCTAACCCATTCCCCTGGGGTTGGATTCCCACTGCTCCCCAGTGGGTGGACCACTGCCTGTACTGGAGAGGGGTGGGATTGGGAGACAGGCTGTCACCGGCTGGAGCCCTGGCTGGGCCCTCAACTTGCCCTCTGGGAAGTTACACCCTATGCTTTTCCTGTAAAACAGTAAGAGGTGCTGGCTTGGGGCTCATAGCCCAGCACCCCCTCCCCCCAGAGTCTTAAAAGTGTTAAGCAGCTGAGATGGGCTGCATTCTTTCCATTCCCCAGCCCTGGGGAGTTTATTTCTGTATCAGACAGACATAAAATGCTCCCCTCGTTTTGTGTGTGTGTGTGTGTGTGTGTGTGTGTGTGTGTGTGTGTGTGTGTGAGATGAGAGCTGTTTGGGGATCAGATTTGTTTGTTTTCAAAATCAGAATTTTAAAGATGAGTAGTTATGTTATAGACCAGTGCTTTTATGAAAGCACAAGTCCCCACTGTTAATCCAGTCAAAGCTGCTTTCTCATAGTCCTTGCCACCACACTACAGGACACCTTGCATGGTCTGGTTTTCAGTTTGTATGCCAGAGTCAGCATTTTGCTCTCCCATTATATGGCCTCTGTATTAATCATTTAAAGTTTCCACGCAGAGGCTAGAGAGATGGCTGGGTGGCTTAGAGCACTTGGTGCTCTTGCAGATGACTGAGGTTAGGTTCCCAGAACCTACATGGTGGTTCACCACCACCAGTACTTCTGGATCCAGGGGCTTCTAATGCCTTCTCACCTTTGCAGATACCAGGCACACACACGGTACACATACAAACATGTAGGCCAAAGGCTCATACACATAAATCTTTTTAAAAAAAAATTTTTTTTCACGTAACATTTCATTGAGCTGGTAGGGTAGTAAGATTTTGTGGTGAAATATGTACACAGGTATGCCTGGCTAGGCATCTTGAGGAAGATGCTTCCTGCCCAGTCCCCTCTTTTGGCTCCTGAGTTCCACTGGCTGCTCTGTCTGGGTTGGACTTCCACATTTCCTATCGTTGACCAATAATTTCTGCCGTGAACCCCACACTCACTTGAGAGTTCTGAAAATGGAGTGAGTCATCTTATCCCTCACTATTGATTGATTTTCAGGTCCAGTTGGTTAAACTCGATCATTAGCATTCCGAGAGCAAGGCGCCCTCTTAGCTCCTGTGGCAGCTCTTGTCCTGCTTAAATCACAGGTGTTTGGTAAATATTTGTGGGTGACAAATACACATTTGCCGAAGCCTGGAGACTTTATCTGGGTGGGAGAACAGTTGCGAGAATGCGTAACCTGAGGTGTACTTTCGTGAGTTTCCCAGGTCAACCTTTGTGTTGAGTCATCAGAGAGGGGAGGATAGGTGAGTAGCAGACAGGAGGAACCCACAGACACCATTAATTCCCTCAGTAATGTGTGCACACGTGAAATGTACTAAGTGTGAAGAAAAGCAGGGATCTTCCCCTCACACGCAGCAACAGAGTGGGAGGAATTTTCACCCTAGACTTTAAATGAACCCGAGTGAGAGAGAAACTGGTGTGAGCATCTTTACCTGTTGGAGAAACAGACCGAGACAGTGACAGGACCTCAGGTTTTCTTCTGTAGTACAGGATGGGTAAAATGGCTCGGGTGAGGTGAGATTGTTCACAGATCGCTAAAAGCTGGCTGATGGTTAAATAGGAGTGTGTTTTATACTCTGCCATTTTGGGGATATAACTCTTTTTCGAGGTATAGAAAAACAGAATCAAAAGGCTACAATAGGTTTGGACTTAGACTGAGCAAAGTCTTCTCTCCCAAGGTGTGATTTAACCCAGTCTGTGGTCTTGGGTCAACTTTAAGGCTGTAGTGCCATCTAGTGTTCATGGCAAACAAAGGACTGCCGCCATTAGGACTTGGCCCTGCTGGCTATTGGCTCTGGCAACTTCTGGCCTTTCCACTGCTCTCAGAGGACTTGAGAGGAAAGAGCAAGATTGACAGGTGCTGCTGATGGTGGTAATGGTGGTGGCCCAGAAGAGAGCAAGCCATGGACAAGAGTCACCTCTGGAGGAAAGTGACCTTGATGACGGGCCTTCAGTGTGACACAGGTGTAAAAATAGCCTCTCTGTGCTGGCTTTACTTAACTCCCTGGCCTGAGCAAACAGCCCCTCACACCTGTACATTGTTTGCTTGGTATGAACACGCTGCTACCTGTTTGCAGGTGTAAATGACTGTTTGCGTGCCCAGAGTTAAGGGGAGGGCGCCTTACCCTCTTCCAGCCAACATTCCCTTAGAGCCGATTATTGAACAGTGAAGCTGGCAAAATGTGCAGCCTTAATCCCCAGGGCTGGGGTCTGAAGGAAAGATGGCCTTTGAAGGGGGTACAGATGGCTTCCCCAGAGAAGAACTCAGCATCGCCTTTGGTATCAGGACAAGGGCAATTCAGAGACCAAGATGGCTGTGCTTAAGAGCAGAAAACTTAGATGGCATGGGTCAATAAGCAGGCTTTACATAAGTCAAAGGGAGTAAGAAAAACCAACCCTGCTCCTTCACTCAGGCAATGAAAAGGGACACAAGGGGCTCACCAATTGTAGAATTCTGCAGACATGGAAGTGAAAGGAAGGGGTTAGTGAGGAAAGGGTGACACATAAAGGCAGCCTTCTGGTAGTGGGCTGACACTCACACTTGATGGACTATGTGTCCTTATTGTATTGCCATATACGAGGAAAAATAGCAAACGATAACATAAGATCATGCATATATGTTAAAGTAAGATCCTGGTTTCATTTTTATTGCTTTGAGAAAATACCCTGACAAAAAAGAAACTGAGGGAGGGGGTTATTTTAGGTTGCAATTCCAGGTTACAGTCCATCATTATAGGGGATTATAGCAGCAGAAGCTTGAGGCCACGCCCACAGCCAAGAGCAGAGAGAAATGAAAGCATGCATACTCACTTGCTAGCTAGCTTGCTTGGGCTCCTTTAATCCTAAACAGTTCAGGAGTCCTTGCCTAGGGAATGGTGCTGCCTACACTAGGCAGGGTCTTTCCCTATCAATGAACTTAATTCAGATGATACAAATGCTCACAGTCAATCCCAAGTAGGCCATGCCTCATTGAGACTCTTTCCTGAGGTAATTCTAGTTGATAAAAGTTCTGAGGTGTCAAGCTGACAATTCAAGCTAAGTGTCACAAGCAGGAAAACTAAGTGAATGATAAATTTAAGAATGTAAATAGAACTCTAGTCTCTGTGACCTAGAAACTCTCCTTGTAGGATAGTACTCAGAGTAATAACCAGACACTCACCACAGACGTACATACAAAGAGGCCAGTGTTTACAAAACAAATATCAGAAACTAGACAGAGATTAAGCAGTTACTGAAGAGCAGAGGTGAAAGGGGAAGGCACATTTCAATGATGGACTTATTATTACACTGTGCTGAAATGAGTTATAATACATTTCTAGTGTGGTAACACATTAGGCCATTAAGCAAACAAAGTAAAGCAAGATAGGTTCAGCCATATCACTTGATCTCAACTGGGCAAAAGTATGTGTCAACATAGAAAGTCTTACAAATGACAGAATAAAATAACGTGCTCACAACACAGGTCATGACCTGTATTTTCTTTATATATTTCAACACCAATTCTCCTATAATATAAATATGTTTACCTAAAGGGAAAAATAATCTGTATGAGTTACTTTTGCAATTATTATGACCGTAGACCCCAGAGAAACTACTTAACAGAAGACAGATTTATTTGTAGTTTATAAGGATTTAGTCTACATTGTGAGGGAGACATGGCAGAGTGGATGGGACGACAGCATACTGTGGGGGTTTCTCAAAGTGCAGTAGGCCATAAGGCAGGGAAAACAGGAAAGGGACAAAGGGCTCAGCATAACCCTGAGCAATGGACTTCTACCAGCTGGGTCCCACATCCTAAGTGGGTTCCACAGTTTCCCAAAATAGTGCCACACTATTGTTGGCAGCTGGGGAACAGGTGTGCAAAACATAAGCCTGTGGGGACATTTCATGTTCAAATCATCACATAGTCATAATTCTGAAAAGGAAAAATGAAGAAAAAGGTCTGAGTAGGTTAGGTGGATGCCATGAAGACTCTAGAGGCAAGACTTGGACTCAAAAGTGTCCCCTATAGTCTAGGTAGCTGATGACTCTTCCTCAGGCAGCTCTGCTGTATCTGGGTGGCAGACAGTGGAACCCACTCGCCTTGCAATCCTGATGGAGGAAGAATGACTCTCCTGGGAGACCCCCCAGCCCTGCTTTCTAGGTGAAAGGTCTCCGAACAAAACAAGGAAGTAATCTTTTGTGTCCTTTCTCCTGTGTCCTCCCCCAGTAGATATGTTTGATGACTTCTCAGAAGGCAGAGAGTGTGTCAATTGTGGGGCCATGTCCACCCCACTCTGGAGGAGAGATGGGACAGGACACTACCTGTGCAATGCCTGTGGCCTCTACCACAAGATGAATGGCATCAACCGACCCCTCATCAAGCCTCAGCGCCGACTGGTAAGCAAGGGCCTCTATGGCTTAGGTCCACCAGCCTAGAGAGCAGCCAGCCCCACCTCTCCTCTCTGCATCCTACCTTGAGACTCATGCCGAGGTTTAAATTTTGGACTTGGATGATAGGAGCTGAGGGGTTAAATAGGTGGGAGGAAGGAGGGAGCTACTCATACCTTTAGAGTGCTCTTGGGCTCACTTCAAAGATGCTGGCCCAGCTAGTCTACCCCATAACTATGCAATATAGAAAATGAACCTCAGAGATGAGTGGCACCAACCACAGAAAGCCAGATCTAGGCCTCCCGATCTTCAGTCCCTTTGTCTTGAAGGCCAGCATAAGCCAGAAGTTGTCTTATTTTCAGTTGATCCCCTAGAAAGACCCAGAGTCCAAGAAGGCAAGGCAGTGGGGTATGGGTCCTGGCTGGGAGGCCTGGATCTGGGCTTTTTTTTTTTTGCCACCTGACTCTGACCAATACCAACCCACTTTGGCGTATGACAGGGAAAGGGACTAGAGAGAGATATCCTGAAGCTTCCTCTTTGAGGCCTATCAATTTCCTCACCCCAAACATAATCAGACACTGGCATCCATGAGATCCACCTTTGGGAAGAGATTCTCTGTTGGCAGTGTCCAGGTCCTTTATGCCATACCCTGGGGTCCTTCTCTGGTTTGGTTCCTACAAGTGATCTAGATACCTAGAGATAGTGGCAGGACTGGCCTGAGGGCTCACATGAGACCATTCTGACTTAGTCCTGCTAGACGCAAAACACTTCCTTTCCATCTGTGTTGTAGTCCGCTTCCCGCCGGGTAGGCCTCTCCTGTGCCAACTGCCAGACCACCACCACTACACTGTGGCGCCGCAATGCCGAGGGCGAGCCTGTGTGCAATGCCTGCGGCCTCTACATGAAGCTCCATGGGGTAAGTAGATGCCCTGCCCTGCTATGTCGTGCCTATGTCCTACCTACACCCCCGCATGCCCTCAACTCTGCCTGACAAGGAGTCTCCTCCATTTCCATTCTGTAGCTCTCACTTGTCTTCCCTCAAGAATAGAATCTGTGTGCTGCTTCTTCTTCTTCTTCTTCTTCTTCTTCTTCTTCTTCTTCTTCTTCTTCTTCTTCTTCTTCTTCTTCTTCCCTTCATTTAATGTGTGTGTGAGAGAGTTTTAAAACCATAACACAATCCTTCATTTAATTGTGTGTGCATGTTCAAAACCATAGCAAAACCTAAATTTAATTTGTGTGTGTGAGAGATTCAAAACCATAGCGCAAACCTGTGTGTGTGTGTGTGTGTGTGTGTGTGAGAGAGAGAGAGAGAGAGAGAGAGAGAGAGAGAGAGAGAAAGAGAGAGAGAGAGAGAATATTTCAATACCATAGGAGACATCTACAAATGGAAATTCATATATTAATTTCCAACCCTTCAGGTACCTAGGCCTCTTGCAATGCGGAAGGAGGGGATTCAAACCAGGAAACGAAAGCCCAAGAACCTGAATAAATCTAAGACATCAGCAGGTGAGGATAGATCTCTGTGTAAGTATGTCAACAAGTCAGGAGTTCCCAGAGCACTCAAGAACCATGTCTGCCCCAGTAGGCTGCCAGGGTATGGTGGTAACCTCTTCCATCTCTTCTCTTAAGACAGAAAAAACAAAAAAAAAAAAAAAAACAAACAAACAGAAAACAAAGAGAAAGAAAAACAGTAAAGAAGCCAGGACCATGAAGCCACATGATGATTGCCTTGCAATAGGCTGGTTGGACCAGTGTGGGGCCTGAGAGAGTAGTGTTGCTCATTGGCCCTGACAGATTGATCTGTAATCGGGGTACATTAATGCCATGGAGTGCTCTGAACCTGCACAAGTTCCTTCAGGGATCCCTTCAAAACCCCACGGGTCGGGCTTTGGTGGCGCACGCCTTTAATCCCAGCACTCAGGAGGCAGAGGCAGGCAGATTTCTGTGAGTTTGAGGCCAGCCTGATCTACAGAGCGAGTGCCAGGATAGGCTCCAAAGCTACACAGAGAAACCCTGTCTCAAAAAACAAAAAAAGACCCCACAGAAGCAGTCTGTTGGCCTGTCTTCCTAATGAGCAAACCGGTGCTCAAGTGCAATGGCTTAAAAGCACATCACTATTTACTGGGATCTGGAATGTTCACTCTGGCATCAACAGTCTGTTCAATATGCTGTTCTGTCTTCAGAGTTTCTATGTGGCTCAGAGTAACCTTGAACTCATGACCCTCCTGCCTCAGCCTCTAAGTGCTAGGATTACAGGCATGAGCCTCCACATCTGGCAATGCCTTCTTAATTTCTACATTAAGAAGAAGGTTATGGGACTGGAGAGATGACTCGGTGGTTAAGAGCACTGGCTGATCTTCCAGAGGACCCAGATTAATTCCCAGTACACACATGGCAGATTACAACTGTCTGTAACTCCAGTTCCATGGCTTCTGACACCCTCACACAGACATACATGCAAGCAAAATACCAATAAATAAAATAAATGACATACATATGAGAGAGAGAGACAGAGGAAGAGGAGGGTCACTAATGTCTGCTACCCAGAGCTTCCTGTGTTCCACACTGCCAAATTAGGATTCCTAATTGCCAAATTGTCTTCAGCAGGGAAATGACCTGGCTGATGTGGTGAACTTTCGTTCACCTCACCCCAGGCAGGCAGATTCACAATGCTGCCCATTTCACCACCAAAACCATGGCTAGCATTGAAGGTTCTTACATTAAACATGGGGTTCTGGAAGAAGTATTTCCTACCTGAGCCTTCTGACACTCCCCAGGGGTCCTGTGCTACCTCTTTCTGCCTCTTGGACTATGACTGCAGCAGAGCCCCTGGGTTCAGGTGTGTAGCCCTCAACCTGTAAGCTGGAATCCAGGAAAATAAATTCTGTAGCAGGACCCGTTGTGGAGCAGCACAGGCCATTTGTAATCTCTGCTTATCCTAAACAGTATGGCTGCTCACATTTTGCTACAGAAAAATTAATATAGTTAATTATAGGTTGTTGTCCCTGAACCCTCTGGCAATAACTTGAAATATATAGAATTTACATTTAAAAACAACATCGAGAGTGTGGAATCCCAAAACGGACAGAATGTGGTGTCTGGGGCTTATGGATCTAGAGTCATGAGGGAATCATGGAGTCTTGATGGGTCCCCTTGGGGATTGGAATGTAGCTCAGTGAGTAGAGTGTGTTACTTAGTATGCACAAAGCCCTGGCTTCAATCTCCAGCACTGCATAAACTGGGCATGGAGGCACAGGCCTGTAATCCCAGCACTCAGGGAGTGGAGGCAGGAATACCAGTTCAATAGCATTCTTAACTACATAGTGAGTTTGAGACCAGCCTGAACTACATCAGACACTGTTTTCAGAAGGCAAAATAGTTGTCTTGGAATTTTGATGCTTCTGTCCAGTTTTGAGAACCACTATGCTTGCCCAAAAGGATCCCTGTTTTTGTCCCCAGCAAATGTAAATAGGGCCTCTGTCCCTGTAGCTGGATTGGGTTTCTTGACTCTGCCTCCTTGCAGGTCCTCCTGGTGAGAGCCTCCCTCCCAGCAGCAGTGCCTCCAGCAACTCCAGCAATGCCACCACCACCACCAGCAGCAGCAGTGAAGAGATGCGTCCCATCAAGACAGAGCCTGGGTTGTCATCTCACTATGGGCACAGCACCTCCATATCCCAGGTGGGCGCAGTGACAGGGCTAATAGGAAAGTAAATTCTAGATCCCTGGACCAGACCAGCCTTAGGAGGTGAGCTGTAGCCTGACCCTGAGCTGCTAAGCTCCAAACAGCCCAGACTTTGAGTCTTGGTACCTCTTGTCCAGCTGCAGTGATTTGAACACAGAGAACACCATGTTTAGCATCTTTCCTGTGCTATGGCTTTGGGAACAAGGAGAAGGATGCAGGATGCATGTGGCAGATAGCACCACTCCCTGGGTCAGACTTGGGGGTTGGGGTTGGAAGCAAACGTGAATTCTAGAGCTTGAAGTGCTTTGACCTTGGCCTTGAAGGCTTTTCAGAGGGTAAGGCAGGAGGACCCTGTTAGCGTGGCACAGGCTTGGAACCCAGAGGGCAGGGTGGGTGAGAGGTGGGCAGAAAGCTATTTCATAAGCTCCAGCTTCCTGAGAGCCTCTGGAATGGCCCAGCAGGGCACTATGCCCTCTTGAAGGTGTGACAGTGCCCTTTCCTCTGCCTCTTTGGGAATGAGGAAGTCATGGTTTTCCTTCCCCAACCCCACTAATTATGAGAGGCTGTTTGAGCATTCTACCATCAGAGTGAACCAGAGAGAACCTGGTTCCACGGAAGCAAAAGTGCTAGGACCCTTTCAGTATGGAGAGGATGACCTCAATCTGACCTGAAAGACCTCTGTCTGACCCGGAAATGGTGATAAGAGTGCCTCCTATGGCTGTCAGAGCCTTCCGAGAAAGCACAGCAGCACAAAACTCCTAGGTTATGGCCTTGATTACATTGTGCTGAGAAGCCACTGGGAAAGCTCACAGACCCCCTGCAGTTGGATCCTAGGGACTAGGGGAGCAGCTAGAATGCTCACTCCCTCATCCCCTTCCCAGCCTTGGTTCTTGGGTCCCCAGGAGCATCCTACCGGCTCACTGTGCTTTCTGCCTTCCAGGCATTCTCTGTCAGTTCTGTGTCCGGCCATGGGCCCTCCATTCATCCAGTGCTGTCGGCTCTGAAGCTCTCCCCACCAGGATATGCATCTCCTGTCACTCAGACATCACAGGCCAGCTCCAAGCAGGACTCTTGGAACAGCCTAGTCCTGGCTGACAGTCATGGGGACATAATTACTGCGTAACTACCCCCCTCCCTCTTCAAATTCCTGCTCGGACTTGGGACCTGGGGGCCAGCAAAGTCTGAGGCTGGGGGCACCCTGGGCAGTCCCTTTGTCTGGGAACAACTCCCAAAGAACAACTGGGTAGAACTTGAAGTTGTTGACAATTGCTTAGGGATGTGGGTGCTGGGTTTCTTCAAACACCTTTTCCAGGTGGAGCACTGGAAAGAGCCTGCATTCTTAGAGACAAGCCCACCTTCACTGTGAATACAGCACAGTTAAGACTCTTCAATGTAGCAGGAGACTTCTTTCTTATTCTCCACTTGCCTGTCCAGGACTTTCACCCTAACTCTCCACCCCAGTGGTTCTAGGTAGTGGGTTTCTCTTTATGCTCCTAAGGTGGCTGTAGGGGCCTGAGCTTCAAGACACCATCTACAGCCTGAGCAGGGTGTCTACTTGATGTGGACTGGACGTGGCAGCCCTGCCCTTGTCCAACACTCCCTTTGAAGCATGGCATGTCCCTGCATGCCCCATACCAGATCTGACTCCAAAAGTGCTGGGTGCAATACAGATGTTACTGAGTTCTCCCTGGGGAGATGGTGGAGAAGGCACATCACCCATCACACAGGATATTCATCAAATCACAGCCCAGCAGTGGTGCCTTCCCTTCTTCCTCTCCTGAGAACTCCGACATTAAACCCCTTGCTCTCCAGCCTGAACATCTCCTATCCTCTGCAAAACTAGAGCTCAGCTGTGTAGCAGGCTAGGGGAACTTGGTGCTGCTCCTAGCATCCTTTTTTACCCCCTTCACATACATGGGTTCCACAGAGGAACAAAAACTGCTACTGTAGCAGCTTGGTGACTGTACTCATCTGCACCGTGGATCCCTCTGAAGATTGTGTCCAAAGCACAATCCTCTTCCCAGGGCTCCAGCTTGCTTGTTCTGAGCCTGCCAGGCCATGGCCTCTCAACGCAGACAGTTACCTGGATCCGGGCCTTTCTACAGCAAGGATCCTTTGTCCAGGAAATACAGAGTGTTTGCAAGATAAATTCAAAGCAGAAACAACAAAAGGAAGTTTGTGCAAGGACAAAGGTGACTGACTCATGGAAGATGTCTTAGGGCCTGATGGGATTGCCATGCTTGTAGCTGTCCTAGAATTGGCCTTCTCCCTCACCCATTACTGGGGTTCCCAAAGATTCTTCCTTGTCCTCATCACCCACAGAGCTGTAGCCAACTATGGCATTACCCCATTGTACCCCAAACTCCCAGCCCCACCCTAAACCTTGCTGGCCGTAGCAGAGAATAGCTTTGAACCAAGATCCTGTTGTAATCATCATTTACACTGTTTTCTCCCTCAAGGCCACCCTCCCATGTCCCCCCAACCCCACAACCTGTTAACATTGTCTTAAGGTGAAATGGCTGTAAAATCAGTATTTAACTAATAAATTTATCTGTATTCCTCCTTCCCTCAGAATTCTTTTCTAGAAGGGCTGATGCTCATGCCCTTTTTAGTGGATCAAAGGGCAGGGGCTGCCTCTACCTAGTTTCCCCTTCATGGTTTTGGCAGTTGGTACCATGGAGTTGGTGGTGGAGGCTGGTGAGAGAATGGGAATGGAAGATCTCAGGACAGGTTCAGCTTCCTGGAGAGGACTGGAGCATCTTTAACTGAAGTTCCTGTCCCCACCTTCTCACATACATGTCACCCTGTGAGTGGGGGCATTTTTTTTACAGCATTTGCCTAAGTGCTTGAGGCTCCATTTAACTGGCTGGTCCTTGATCTTGCCTGTCTCCTGATGTAGGACACATTCTGAATGGCCCCCAAGGGACATATACTTACCCCAGTGAGACAAAGACAATTGTCTCCTTTATCTATTTTGTCTTTACCTTCTCAGTGCAGTACCAGGAGCAATCACTGGTCCCAAGGCCCTGTCTCATTTGGTCCCTGTGGCATGGCTAGGCTTTCGTTATCACCTACCTTCAGGACCAGCTTATGCCAAAATATTCCAGGCATCTAGGGTCTCTGATCTCATGGCATCCTGGTCATTTTCTACTGTTAATAACACACTCTCTCTCTCTCTCTCTCTCTCTCTCTCTCTCTCTCTCTCTCTCTCTCTCTCTTCTATGTAAGACTGGAAACATCTTTTAAAATGTTTTCAGAATTATTGAGTGTGTGAAGGGGCAAACATGCCTCAGCACACCAGTGAAGGTCAGGGAACAATGTTTGGGAGTTAGTTTTCTTTTCCACCTTTACATGGGTTCCAGGGCTCACACTCAGGTTGTCAGGCTTGTGATCAAGTGACCCATTTTTTTTTTCTTTTTGAGACAGGGTTTCTCTGTGTAACTGTCCTGGAACTCATTTTGACCTCGAACTCACAGAGATTCTTCTGCCTCTGCCTCTCAAGTGCTGGGATTAAAGGTGTGCACCACTCTTAAAAGAATAGCCAAACCCTTTAAACTGAGAGCGTCTGTGTGTTGGTTGTTTTTTTACTCTCTTGGGGGGCCCAACCCAGCTCCCAAATAAATCACACACAGAGGCTTATTATTACTTATAAATGCTCAGCCTTAGCTTGGCTTACTTCTAGCCAGCCTTTCTTAACTTAAATTATCCCATTTATCCTTTACCTCTGGGCTTGTATCTTTCTCTATGTGTACCTTTCTTTGTTTCTTACTCTGTGGCTTGTATAGCTGGGTAGTTGGCCCATGGAGTCCTTCTCCTTCTCTGGCTACCTCTTCTCACTCCTCCATCTCTCTTCTCCTCCCAGATTTCTCCTTCTATTTATTCTGTCTGCCAGCCCTGCCTATTTCTCTCTCCTGCCTCGCTACTGGCTGTGCAGCTTTTATTAGACCATCAGGTGTTTTAGACAGGCACAGCTTCACAGAATTAAACAAATGCAACAGAAACACCTTAAAAAAGTGACACACCTTAAAATATTCTTCAACACTACTGTCAGTCAAGTAAGGTGAGTCCTAGTAAGAAGAGATTCCAAACTGTTGGCCAGAGAGGTTCATGGTTTTTGGTTAGGGCATTTTTGTTTGAAACATTTACATCACTTCTTTTTACAAATGGATTCAGGACAGATTCTGCATAGTCTCATTAGATACCTCTTTCTGCATACACTCCTAACTGGTACCTCTCTCCAATTAAGATAACTCGGTCTCTTTGATCATCAGACTTGTTAACTTACCCTATTCGAGCAATCCTTAAGGAAGCCTGAGTTGCTGTATCCAAGAGACTATAAAAGATGCAGCCAGGCCTGGTGGTGAACATTGTCTCAATCATCATTGACAACAACAAAGATGCATTTCCAAACAGTTGGGACATGGCTGGAGGAGGGAGAAGTGAGGGAGAGGGCACAAAATGATGTCATTAGGACAAATCACTTTCTCAAAGGACAAGTCTACATAAGAAATCACATTGCTTTATGGTCACACTTCTGGCTGATGAAACTTTCTGGAACCCAGGTTAAGTCGGATGCAGTCAGATATGCATTGGCCCCAGCTTCTGAGCAGGAGGGCGCTTAGCTGTAACTGTGTTTGGGTGGCTTGATGGTAATGGCTACAAACTTCTCATCATTGAACATGCAACAAATAGGGCTGCAGGATTATTACTAGGAGCCCCTGACCTCAAAGCTTGGCATGCTGACTGTAACTGTCACCTTTGCCTTGCCACAACAAAACACCTTGAGAAAAAAGGTTTAGGCTGGGGATTTACCTTCATTGGTAAAGTGCTTACCTAGCATACAGGAAGCCCTGGGTTCTCAGCACTGCATAAATCAGGTGCTGTATACAGCTGTTACCCCAGCACTCATGTGGTGAAGGCAGGAGACCAGCCTGAGTCCCATGTCTCTGGTATGGCCTGGGGTTGGAAGGCTGTCTGTCAGATGAACCATTTCAAGTCTGTCTAGGGTGCCCTCGTACATTCTGGGACAAATGGAGACCGAAGAAAGCCTTATTTAGCTTAATGAGGATGGGATAATTTCTGCCAATCCCTCCATCCCTTCCTGGAGGTACAAGCCTATGAGAGTTTAATGGGTTTACAGGGGTTCAGTTGCTAAGAATGTGGAAACATAAGTGTCTCAGTGGCCTCCGAAAGATGGGCTGGAAGAGTCGAATGAAGACAACCTAGCAACGACAAAGGAATTCAGATCATAGGAGTCTCTGAGATTATCAGAATTTCCAAATCCTGTAGTGCTACCATCCAGAGAACTTCCTTAAGGCCACAGCTGGTGGAAGACCACATTTACTCACTGTGCTTGCAGTTCATACATTCACCACATGAGGGCGCACGCCTTATCTCTCTACAAGCATTACAACTAGTTTTCCAGCTGTTAAATCTGAGATCAGCCCCAACAAATTTTTCTTCCACTCAAAAGCATTACTGCTTATTGAGCCCTGAGGCCTGCTAGATACTGATAGCTTTGGCTAGCCTCGGGAGAACATTTGTACATCACTGCAATCACAAAGATATGGATTTGTTGAAATTCTCGTAACTACTATAGAACCGGTCTACTGAATTTCAGAATCCCACTCCCATAGAACAAGAAACTTACAAGCTAGGGAGACCCTACACAGCCTGAGTTGAACAATTTTTAGCTTATGAGCATTTCCTAACTAATATCTCAAGCATCCCCTCAACAAAAACAAGACCGCCCAGCATTGGGGGGAGGGAGCTTGTCAGAAAGGCACACTGCTTCTCATAATGTAAATGTCTCTGAGTGACTTACATACACATCAGAGTTTGCAAAATATGGCTTTATGTCTATAACACCATGGCACAGATGTCCCATTTAGAGACTAGATTTAGGTATTATGGCTGGCTTGTTTTCCCACAGCCAATGACAAGGCAGTCTAGGTAAAGATTTTACAAGGTGTCTTACATAATGCATGCTCAGCGAACTAAAAAGGTGATTTTAAGTGACTGCAGCAAATTGTGAACCATTCATTTTCTCGATTGTGTGTGTAACCCCCTGGCACAGGAGTGCACTGTATCCTGTAGCAGATGTGGGAAAGTATACTCCAGTACTTACACATAAATAGGTACCCCCCCCTGCAAATGCCCCGCCCTCAAGCTCACCTTCTGCCTCTAAAAGGACCTTTGCCCCTCAGATGTCAGAGGCCTCCTGCTCTCTGCCCTACCGCAGGTAGGTGGAAGGCTAGCTGAACTGCTCATTGAGGCAGGGCTGTCTTCCCTGTGCTGGCCAAGCCCTCCTCGAGCCCTCAGTTCCCAGGTTCAGGGTCTGACACCTTAGCCACCTCCTGTAGGCCTACTCAAGAGTTCTCCAAAAGTCCCTTAACTTCCTGTAAAGGACTCCCACCCTTCTTGGAGTCCTGTCTTTGAACAACCTGCTACCATCTTTATTCTTCCAAATAAAAATTTTAATACACAATAAAAAATTTAAAGAGTATAGTAAAAATTCAAACATCATTAAAATAATATAAAGTAAACCAAACCTCAGTCTTTCAAAGCTTTACAGACCAGGTTTGCTAGCTGTGTTTAAAATTCCGGCACTTTAAAGACTAAGACTGGAGGAGTTCAAGGGTAGCCAGGGTTACACGGTGAGCTCCAAGCCAGCCTGCATTAGACTGTGAGGCTTTGTCTGAAAAAGCCAAAACCCGTCATGTTTGTCTTGGCCTGAACCACGCAAGACCACTGGCTTCTGAGCGCTTGCCTTTTCTTGGTACCAGTCCACTCTCTCCTGGATCCTGGGAGTTCGCAAGCTGGCGGGGTGGGGTGGGAGGAGAGAGTAACGGAGGGGCTGAGAGGGGTGGTGGTGGGAGGTATGGGGTTAGGGCTGGGGCGAATACACTCCGAGAGTGCCTCAAGCGAGGGTAAAAGCTTAGAGAGTTGCAAGTCGGCTGGTCACTGCCGGCAGGAGACAGCAGCATCCCTCCTACCTATGGGAGCAGCCTGAGTAGAAGAGCCTGCAGTCCCGATCTCGAGGCGAACCCCCATCTCCAGGACAGAAGCCCGCAGCTCTCCAGCTCTGCCTGCACCTCACCTCCAGCACCCCCAGGGTAAAAACTTACAGCTCCTTCATCGCGAAAGGCTCCCATCTCCAGCGCTCCCAGGAGAGAAGCCCGCAGCCCTACTCCCAACTCCCGCCCCCAACGAGCTCGGTCCCTGGAGTGCCAGAAGCAGCTTCCCGCCAACCCCAGGAACTCTGCGGCCCCAGGCCACCCCGCCTCCCGCGCTCAAGCCTATTGAACCGGTCGGAAGTTCCCCGTCCCCTGTGCCCCATCCCCAGTCCTCCGCGCTCCCCGCCCCAGTCCGGAACTGGAAGACGCTGGCGGATTGCACTCCTGCTGCGGTCGCTGGGACCCCGGATCCCGGGGAGTGCGGCTCTGCGAGCCCCTCGGCCCCCTCCCCACCTTCCCGGGACTGCACTCGTGCACGTTTTCAACACAACTTTCTTTTTAATCTTTGGTGAAAAGTGAATTACAGAAAAATTAAGCAGTGTCTCTTATGGACACGCGCAGCCAGGTCGTATTTTTGTTTTTGTTGATCACGTTGCCTTCCGCTCCCCTCTCGCCCCCGCCCTCGTGACCTTCTCGTGTTTGCTCCCGCTTCAGTCACACTGAAGATGCCTCAGACTCCGCCTGGCACCTAAAACGCTGCTTGGCCACCGAAGAGGGACCACGTTCTGCTTGCCTGGCCACCTCGCCCTACCAACGAAGCACAAGGTTCTTATTTTCTCATCTTATCTCTTTCCTAACCATCAAAGCATGCCCATGGGCGGAGAGTTGTTTGTTTTGATACAGGGTCTACGTGTAGCCAGGGTTCGCTGTGTAGACCAGGGTGGCCTCCAGTTCCCTGAAATCCTCCTGCCTCTGCCTCTGAGGGTGCTAGGATTAAAGACTTGCACCACCACACCCGGCTCACGGTAGAGATTTTAAGATTACGGTTCATTGCACAGGCGGGCTTTTCCAGAACCTTCTCTGAGGAAGGCCAGGCCGACTCTGAACTGAGAGGTGGTTAGGGTGCCAGTACCTGGCAAGCTGCCTTCCAGCCCAGTAGTTTCCCCTGGAGTAGATGAATAGTTACCACATTTCCAAGAGTGTGGGTGGGAATCCAAGTGTGGACAAATTTAAGTATTGCATTGAAGCTTGGGACTTAGCGCAGTTGGTAGAGGGATTGCCTAGCTTGCAAGATGCACTGTTTGAGGATAAAGCAGGAGTGGTGGTACTGTTCCGTAATAACAGTACTATGGGGGTAGAGGCCATCCATGCACTATAGAGTGGACTATAGGCTTCTTGGCATCTGAAATATGGGCAAACCTGTCTCAAGACAGAAAAGAAAAACAACATTATTGAATATGTTGCTTATGAATTATGAGAATTCGTGGAATGACTAAGATATTCTGTTTATCCCGATTCTCTGGTTAAAATGTATGTTTTAAGTGTCTTAGGGAGACACTTAATTCCAGTACTCACACTTGGGAGACTCAGGCAGGAGGATTGCTCAGAGTTCAAGACCAGCCTGGGGTACAGAGTGAGTCTTGAAAAACACCACCACCACCAAAAGCAAGACAAACAACAACAACAACAACAAAAAACAACCAACTGCTTTTAGAAACACTGAAATAATAACTACCTGCCATGTCCCTTTGTCAGTTTTCACCATGATTTATGGAGCCTAGTGCCGGTGAGTGGCTGATAAGGTTAGAGGGAACCTTGTGTGTGTGTGTGTGTGTGTGTGTGTATGTGTTTTTTGGGGGGGGGCGTGTTGTGACTTCCACTCAGTGAAAGCAGGATGTAGGCCACTCAGGCTGCCTCACCCTGGTGCCTCTCAGTGACTTTGGGTGATTGAGAACAGGGAAGGAAGGGGTGACAGGCAGTCCAGCCTTGCTTTTACTGTGGCTTTTCAGCCATCAGGCATATTATCAGGAGTTAAGCTGGTTGGTAGCTCTCTTGCTGGCTGGTGTCTGCTTGTCAGTTTGGAGATCTGCCAGCACTGTGGTCACAGATAGAAAACCACTCTAAGAGACCTGGTAAGTAGTGAGTATCTCCCTCCCCTGAGGTGGCCCTGAGAGAGCCAGATCCAAGTATGGATAAGTGAGCAGAGGGTTGATTGCTTTGGGGGTGGGACGGGGAAAGACAGAAAACATGGAGATGAGTTAGAGGTCTAATATACCCGGCAAAAAGGAATGAGGAGTTGTTGCAGGCCTGTAATCCTAGCGCTTGGGAGCACAGCTGGAACTACGTAGTACATAGTAGTCACCTATAGCTGCATAACAAGACTCTGTCTCAAGAAATGAAACAAATAAGGAGTGGCAGACCATTGAGGTGGCGTGCCATTGAAGTAGACAGTGCCTGCTACATGACACCAAGCATGCTATGTTGATTATATTTGCTGCATGGATATTGGGTGAGGGACTAGGAAGAGAAACCATTGCTGCGAAGCTGGCCCTGAACCCTGCCCCAGCTCAGTCTTCTCTGAGATCTGATCCCCCTACCTCAGTCAGGCTCCAGATTTGGAATATATACTCTTGAAGTGGTTGACCCAAACTGGCTCCTTGGGGTACAACACCATCAGACATGCTAGAGAGGACCGAGCTAAATGGGTGTGGTCTCCTTTGCCACTTTCTATCTGCAGAGATGCCAGAAGGGCCATCCGTGAGGAAGTTTCACCATCTTGTCTCCCCTTTTGTGGGCCAGAAGGTAGTCAAGACTGGGGGCAGCAGTAAGAAGCTATGCCCCGACTCCTTCCAGTCTCTATGGCTCCAGGATGCCCAGGTGAGTTTTGCTTTCCCCAGGTCTCACTCCACCTCCCCAGGTGACATCTCATGACGTTTTATGTTTAAGCATTGGACAGCCATGCTAGGACTGCATGTGGCCCTGCTCTTTCAGTGTGATGTTTCCTGTCACAATGGAATGGGAACGTGAAGAACATACAAAAAGGGCCTGAAGACCCCATGCATAATCTGGAGAACTTCTCTCCTTGTCTTACCTGCATCTTTGGTGTGGTGCCCGTGACCCCCATAGGCCAGCTGCCAAGTAAGGAATGAGCACAGTTGAAGATTTGGATTCAGACCTCATCCTGACTGGGAGCCAGAATTCCTTCAATTCCTTCAGCGTGATCAGGGACTCCCTGTGGACTTACCCCTCCCTCCCTGTCTCTCTGGCCCTTGCACCCAGCCCCAAGTCATTCTTTGCTCATAGTATCTGCCAGCAACTCATTTCCTTCCCATGGTGAGGACATGTTTCCCCATGCTTGGGCACATTCCCCTTTTTTTCCCTCTACTGTTTCCACTCCTGCCTCTTCAATTTACCATGGTAATTTTAGACTCTTTTCGGATTCCATGTGACCATGATATCCTGTCTGTTTAGCACAAGCTAAGAGATGACCCCTCTGTACTTCTATGATACACTCTACTTCCTCCTGTTGCCTCCTTATTGCCATGTCTGTCCTCCATGGTATGTAGGAAGACAGAGACAGGGCAAGAATGTATTCTCATCAGTCTTGTATTTTCTTGCTTAGCTATGAGCATCTGCACGTAGGAGGTGTGGGGTGAATTTTTAGAGAAACACTTGGGACTCTGCTGCTTCGTAGCTGTGTGATCTGAAGCACATTCTCGTTTCCTTTGCTCTAATCTCCTCAACTGTATGTGGGCATAAAACACTCTGTGGTGGTTTGAATGAGAATGATCTCCGTAGGCTCAGATGTTTAAATACTTGGTCATCAGAGAATAGAACTCTTGGAAAAGATTAGGAATTGTGGCCTTGTTGGAGATATGGGCTTTGAGGTTTCAGAAGTCCATGCTGTCAGTCTGTCCATCCGTCTGTCCGTCCATCTGTCTGTCTCCCTCCCTCCCTTCCTCTCCTCTCCTCTCTCCTTCCTCTCTCCCCCCTCCTCTCTCCCCTCTCTATCTCTTCTCTGTCTCCACCCTCCCTCTCTCCCTCTTCTCTCTCCTCTATTCTCTCTCCCCTCAGTCTCTCCCCTATCTCTTCCCTCTCCCCCCCCCCCCCCCCCCCCCCCCCCCCCCCCCCCCCCCCCTCCCTCTCCTCTCTCTACCTGATACCTGCTACCTGTGAATCAGGATATATGGCTCTGCAGTACTGCTCCAGCATCATGCTTGTCCGATTCCTGCCTACCAGACTAACCCTCCAAAACTGTAAGCAAGCTCCCCCTTCTATAAGACTTGCCTTGATCAGTGTGTCTCTTCACAGCAATAGAACACGGACTAAGACACTTATTAAAACTCTTATAAGAATAGAGTTCACACCGGACACAAGTATGTATGTACCCAATAGAATGCTTGTTCCCATCTTCCATGTAATGTATGCCTGCACATTTGTACACACTCTCCTCATAGGCTACAGAATCACTCTTTGAGTGGAAGATGTATCATAACCCTTCACCTAGAGTTCATTTGAAGCTGAGGCTCTGAATTCCAAGTTTAGGGGTCCGGGTCTTCTGGACTTCAGGCTAGTGGCCTCTTTGTAGAGACTCTTGTGTACAGTTTAAGTCTCATGGCTTTGGTCCCCCAGCACTTACAATGATAGTTGTCACAGAGCTGGCACTTACACATCACTGAATAGATTTGGGAATAGATAAATATATGGCCTGGGATCTGGAGATGCAATGGATTCTGTTTCCTAGGAAACAGAGGAGACACCCATGCTGTAGGAACCCTAGAGAGGCCTGAGCCTGGGGCTGCCTGCTGATGCTCCCAGGAGTGTTTTCACCTGAGGAATGTAGATTTAGATAGGGAAGGAAGGACCCATATTTTCACAAGAGAACTGCCCAGCAAGGCTAAATGGTGAGAATCATAGCTGTAATTAAGGCCCAGTAATGCCTTGACATGAAGGAGTCCCTCTGGCTTGGAGATGGGACTTGGGGTGGTCCTTGAAGATTAGAGGATGTAGATATACTTACAGAGAGAAAAGTGTGTGTGTGTGTGTGTGTGTGTGTGTGTGTGTGTGTGTGTGTGTGATACAATATGCATGAGTGTGTCTATGCATATGGAGGCTATCGGTTGATGTTGGGTGCCTCTCTCAAGGGGTCTCACTTTATCTTTTTAAACAGCGTCTCTCCCTGAGTGTGGCACTCACCACTTGGCTAGACTAACTGATCAGTGAGGTCCAGGGATTCTCCTGTCTCCACCTCCCAGTGCTGGGATTACAGACTCAACCTGCTGTACTCAGCCACCAACCTCAAGCTCTGCTCCCTCTACCCAGTTCCTGAGGCCTCCCCCTCTCAGGCTTGTCCAGGTTCAAAGTGGGTGGGATTCATCAGGGCAGGCCCCTGTGTCTCAGCTGTACACATGTGTCACCATCCTGTACCTGCTTCCCATTTCACAGATGGATGCCATGTCTTATCTGCTGGAGATGGGGGGCGTTGAGTTTACCCACAGAGCCATCTCAGTGGCCCAGATCTTGAGCTCTCAGTCCTCCTGCCTCAACCTCCTATTAGTGTTGAGACTACAGTTGTGAGCCATCACCCTCATCAGATTCTGGCTTTTTGTTTTGTGTGCAAGTTCTTCTGTGGTTGATTACTTTTTCCAGGTCCAGTTTTCTGGGTGGGGGATGCTTCCGAATTTTATAAGATTGTTTCTTTAGCTGTCATCAGGCTGAGGGTGCCCACACTGAATCACCTCTAGCCTAGAAAAATGTGTTGTGGAGTCACGGAGTAACTAAATGAATGACTGTTTGGATAATCTTTTACTGAGGTCCTGAAATCTTTGGGAACATCTCTCCTTGGGTGTTCTGGGTGGCCTTGCTGCTGGCATAGACCTGTCCCATCACTAACCCAACGTTCAGGCATTTGGAAAGTCATGCACCTGCTGTTGATGCCACTGGTGCAAAAGAGCAAAGAACGGAGAAATCCTCTGTGCTTTGGGTGAGAAGGAGCCAGACTGTTGGCAGATAGCTGTGAAGCTTTGGGTCCTGTGTAGGGCTCTGAGGATCAGTACATGTTCATTTTTGTTGTTTTGTTTTGCTAGGTGCATGGAAAAAAATTATTCCTTCGGTTTGATCCTGATGAGGAGATGGAGCTACTCGGCAGCAGCCCACAGCCTGTACAAGGAGTACAGCAGAAAGAGGCCATGGATCCAGAGCTGGCCTTGCTGCCCAATGCTCAGGAAACTTCTGCAGGCCCCTCCGGATCTGGGGAGCCTGTTCCTAGTGGATCTGATGGCCCCTATGATCTTGGGGGACACAACCTTTTAGCGGTTGCCCAGAGATGGCTAGAAGTCAGGTTTGGTTTGTTTGGCAGTGTCTGGGTGAATGACTTCTCCAGAGCAAAGCAAGCTAACAAGAGAGGTGACTGGAGAGATCCTGTGCCCAGGTAATGGTGTGACATGGACAGGGTCCAGTAGGGTCTGCAGTGTCCATGCTCTCTGTGGCAAGGCATGGCTGAATGGTTACACGTGTGGATGACCAGACCTTGCTATCCAGGAAGCAGAAAGTGTAGGTGTTTTCCAGTTCTGACCTCTCGCTCCCACATAACCAGTTGGTTCTGTGGAGATAAAACTCAGGTCATCAGGGTTGATGGCGAGCACCTTTCCCCTCTGAGCCATCTTGCTGGCTCTGGCAATTAAAAACAAGAAAGCAAGAAATATCCCTTGGTTATTCTATGACAAGAGTCATCCTGTATACCTTAGGCTAGTCTCAAATTCATAATCCTCTTGTCTCAGCCTATCCTGAGATTACAGGCATATACCACAATGCCCAGCTCCCCTCTTTCTGAAATTGCCTCTGCCCTTCTCAAGAACACTAACTAGACATGGACTGGGATTCTCTGGATTCAGGTTCTCCTACTTCCGGTGTGGAGGCAGCTCTGGTTGGATTAGCTATCCCTACAAAATATCCCATTATTTCCTTACCAAAGTGTGTGAGGTCTCTTTCCTGCCCTTAACATCCAAAAGGCTCAGGGCACATGTGTGTAGAAGACCTACACACATACATAGGCTAACCTTGCCTGAAACTGGAAGTGGTGCCATCTTTGTCACCAGAATCTTTGTTTCTGTATCTTCTCCCTAATGAGCCTGCCCACGTCTGTTCAGTTTGCCACTAACCTAGATTCAGATTTTTATATTTCCATCCGTCAACATGCATTGCTATAATGTAATTAGAAAACAGCGTATATGTGTGTTTTACTTCATTTGGCTCTGAGAAGTTTATGATTCTGACTATGAGACTTTAACTTCCCAGTTTGATTCAGACTAGTACATGTACTAGTCTACCTGACTACTGTGGAATAGAAACTGTGTATGTGTGATCTGTAACTGTGTATAAATGTGACCTACATAGTGGTCACTGTAAGTAAAGTACATGTGACATAATTATATAGTGGTAACTATATGGTGATGTACATTGATAGTTGCATGTGTGAGATGATTATATTGTGGTAATTATATATACATGTGAACTGACTTCTGTAGGGGTCTGATTATGTATTATAAATTGACTGTACATTGGTGGTTGTAATGTATGATTTCATTGTATGTGAGAACGCTGTAGGTATGATCTCTTCTGTCTTCTTAGGCTGGTACTCCATTTTGATGGTGGTGGCTTCCTGGCATTTTATAGTTGCCAGATGTCGTGGAGTCCTCCCCCAGTGATTGAGCCCACCTGTGACATCTTGTCTGAGAAGTTCCATCGAGGACAAGCCTTGGAAGCTCTAAGCCAGGCTCAGCCTGTGTGCTATACACTATTGGACCAGAGATACTTTTCAGGATTAGGTATGACCCAGGTGATGGGGAGGAACCCCCCAGAGTTGATTAATGGAAAAGTTGCACATCAGTAGGACAGTCAAGACTTGAGGACTCTCATCCAGTTGTGCCATCACTCCTGGTTTTGAGGTTGGGTTAGATCCCTTGATTTTAGACTCAGAGGTTGGATTAGTCAGGTCCTCACTTCTCTGTCTGCACACACTCACATCGTGATAGCGTTTACACCCTAGAGGCAGTGGGACCTGGGAAAATGGAGCCGATGAATGAGGCACACTGAAGTCTCATGCAATAGCCAACTTTATTCAGAGCAATAGACAATTTGACTGAGGGTTAAGAGGGGTCACCTGAGTACTAATGAGTTCAAGCTGTATACAACCACAAGGTCAAGCCATAGATGGCAAAAACATGTTTTTCCACAGAGGCATAAACAAATAACAATAGCCAATTGTAATGAACAGTAACAAACACACTCCTATCCCGCTATACCTGGGAGGAGCATCAAAACACATTCCAAGAACAGTTCTGTTTTGTAGAACCTGAGGCCACAAGACTATTGTCATATTTCTTGGAGTTTTCTCACAAGCACTCAGAATTCTCCTCACAGAACTCCATTCTTGAACTATGTTCTGTCATAGGACTGCCAGATGTGAGCCTACTAATGGTGTTTTAGTGTGACCACCTAACAGAGGGATAATGTCTTGCACAGAGCATATAGAAGGTTCTGAGTCATGACATGTTGTGAATGGCTGTCCTGAGTTGTTCCTACAATAGGTAGTGCCCTTGGGCAATGGAGCTTCCTGCTGCCAAAGCAGAGGTAGACATCAGGTCAATTCCAGGCTCTTAGAAGCCAGGAGAAAGAAGCAGGTCTCAGCTCTGGAGAGCTGAGTGGTGAAACTGAGCATTTCCAGTTGAGACAAGGGGTGTGTGTAGTTCCTAGTAGCAGGGATGGCAGCTCTCTTACTATCCTTGGGAGAGCAGTGAGTGCCACCACAACTGGCTGTTACATCTGGTGTTAGCAGAGCTGTGTCTTTATACAAAGTGTGACTTTGCCTGCCACAGGTATGGCTCACTACAGGAAGGTGGGAAGGCCTTGTACTTTCATGGGAGAACCAGTGGAATCTGTTTCTGTGCCAGAGGAGCCACAAGGCTTTCAGAAGCAGCTTTTGAATGTATACAGAGAGCTGACTGCACAATGATACTGGTGACAGCCAGCGAGATTCATGTGACTCCAGGAACCCAGGCACATGGTCCTGTCCTCATACTGCTCCATGGGATAATCACTTCTTAGCTTTCCCTTTTATTCAGATGAGGAAACTAAAGCAAAGGGTGCCTCGCTGGTGAGTGGTGCAGCCGAGATGAGTCCAGGTAACCTGTCACTCAAGTTTGCAAAGAACCTGTAACTAGAAGTTCAATTATGAAACTCTGGGAGAGGGGATGACTATTTCATCTATTGCTGCCATGTGCCATCTAGCTTACTCTCCTCTCCTTAGCAAGGTCATTGCTCAGTGGCTCAGCAAGCTGTACTCCATCATAACTTGATAATTGCAAGCTAGTGTGGTGGCACATATCTATAATTCAACACTTAGAAGATGGAGGCAGGAGTTTAGCCTAGCCTCCATAGTGAGTTTGAGGCTATGTGGACAGTGTTTCCTACCCCTGTGTCTTTCTTTGTTTTCAGGGAACATTATAAAGAATGAAGCCTTGTACAGAGCAGGTATCCATCCCCTCTCTCTCGGTTCGCTCCTGAGTTCTTCCTCTCTGGAGGCCCTCGTGGATCACGTGGTGGAATTCAGTTCCGATTGGCTTCGGGACAAATTCCAAGGCAAGGGACGGCGCACACTGATCTACCAGAAGGATCAGTGTCCTTCTGGTCACCAGGTTATGAAGGAGACATTTGGGCCCCCTTGTGGACTCCAGAGGCTCACCTGGTGGTGCCCTCAGTGCCAGCCCCAGCTGTCATCGGAGGGGCCACAGAATATGCTGTCCTCCTAAAACATTTGGCTTTCTTCATGGAACTTGGAGCCTTGAAGATCCAGATACCGTATGTCCTGAGAGAAGGGTGTAGGCAAGAATTGTACGTCAGCTCAGAGATCGGGTTCAGAGGGTCAGTATTGTTGATATTCATCTCATTGGATTATACCTCAGCCGCAGCTTTCATAGGGATAGATGCTTTCCTTTTCTGGTTAACTCTATGTAACCCCCCTTGCTGTCAAAATCCTGACAGAGCATTGGGGAAACTACCTGGAGCATCAGTGAGTCTGAAAAGGAGTGGCTGGGGAACAGCTGGGGGATAGCAGGCAGCTGTCAGGGACAGCCAAGGGATACTATACTCCCAGGCTTCTTTGCTAATGGCATGTTGTGCTGTTTTGGGAACTGATTGATTTTGAGTCCCTCCATTTTCTTCTTTCCCCTGGAGGGGTCAGGGATGAAGGCAAAGCTGCAGGCAGGTACTGCTGGTCAGCCTGCCTGGCACATTCCCAGTGGCTGGAGACTCCGGAATGGATAGGGAGGTGTGCCCAGGGATGTGAGAAAAGCTGCTGCTCTAAGATGTGCATTCGTGACTGTGATGTTGAACAGTTCAGGTGTCCAGGGATGTAGAGAAACAACCCATCAGGTTGTTAGCAATAACTTCATGGAACTGGGATAGCAATTGAAAATAAAATGGTGTGATGTTTTCTATGTTGTCTTCATTAGGCAGAAATGTTTTTTTTGTTTGTATGTGGGTTTTTGTTTTTTGTTTGTTTGTTTTGCTTTGTTTTGTGGTGCTGAGATGAAACCTGGTGCTTCACTTGTTCTAAGCAATGACCGTACCACTCAGCTATGTCCAGGTCTCACCCTTTGTGAAGGGGCCTCCCAGGCTTGCAGGGTTGGCCTGGTGAATCCACTTAGGAGCAATATGGGAGGGAATTTGCCCTCCTGCCTTGGAGAACTAGATGGATCTTGGTGTGGTGTTATCTTGCTTGTACAAATAAAGCCTGTCTGAAGGTCAGAGAATGGAGCTTGCCACTAGCTAACTATTAGAGGTCAGGAGGTCTGTGTAGACAGACAGAAAGTAAAGTAGCTGGGAAGAAACAGGATATAAACAGAGAGAAACAGGTACTCTCTTGTCTGCTGACATTTCAGCAGACAAGCTAAGGAGGTAAGGCTTGCTCCTTCTCTCTCATCTCTCAGCGTTTTCCACTTAAAAAAAAAAAAAAAACAAAAAATCCTCTAAATGGTTTATAGTGTGTTTAAAAGTATATGTAGGCTTGGGAGAGACAAAAAAAAAAAAAGGATAGAAAAGGTCCTTTAAAAAAAAAAAAGAGTAGCTGGGCTTGGTGGCACATGCCTTTAATCCTAGCACTCAGGAGTCAGAGGCAGGCGGATCACTGTGAGTTGAAGGCCAACTTGATCTACAAAAGCTACACAGAGAAACCCTGTCTCAAAAAAACAAAAAGATAGGAAAAATAGAGTAATAAAAACAAAAAAGCCACGTAAAAATAGAAAATCCATAGAGTCTGGATACTGTATGTTATGTGTTATCTTTGAATTGTTTGCTGAAGAAAGACCAACAGCTGCTAAAAGACATGTAATTATAAATGCTGCGGGATTAATCCAACCTATATATTTTAAAAATGGTTTGACTTCAAAATTTTTTTTTGTTTGTTAGGTTTTTCGAGACAGGGTTTCTCTGTGTAGCTTTGGAGCCTATCCTGGCACTCGCTCTGGAGACCAGGCTGGCCTCGAACTCACAGAGATATGCCTGCCTCTACCTCCCGAGTGCTGGGATTAAAGGCATGTGACACCAACGCCCGGCCTTGACTTCAAAATTTAAATCTAAGGACAAGTTACTTTGGAAAAGAGATTCTGCTTTTGTTGCCACAGAAGATGAAAAGCTGTGGATTCCTTCCAGGCTAATATGGTTTAGTCAAACAAGACCCCCTGAAGCAGTGGCCCAGGTGATCCAACATCCAAGATAGCTGGGACAATTGATGCAGCCTTGCAGACTGCTATAGCCAGGAACTGACCACGATTGAGTTTTCTTAGGATCCCCCATGAGATTGATAGTGCCCCCAAACAGCAGGAAGCAGTTTGGAGAGAACTATGCCCACATTCTCAAATATTGTTTATAATTGTTTGCTTTAAAAGAACAGTGCATACTCTTGATCAGTGAGCCATTTCCACAGTCCTGGGCACTTAATGTCCTTACTTTATGCGTGAGTAAATGCAAGTCTTCTTCAGTGGTTATGGACCTTAGGACCATACAGTTAAACTGAGTGTGGTGGCACACAACTGTAAACCCAGCTATTCAGGAGACTTAGGCAATAGGACCCAGTGTTTAGGCCAGCCTGGTTTTGCAGAGACCCTGCCTCAAAGAGAAAACAAACAGTAAACAAGGCTCAAAGCCACTGTCATACTTATGTACGTCTTAGCAAAATACCAGCTCTTCCATCCATGCCAGGGATGCCCTAGCTGTGTCCCCAGGATGACTGGGTGGGAGGTGGTCAACAGGGTGGTAACAGAGGCCTCTGGACTTGGAGCACTGATGATGTGTAGATCAGTGACAGTTCCCTGCAAGATTGCATCACAGAGAAGAAACCTGACAGCACTGGGGCAGGATGTTACGGCTGGTGTGCCACCAGGTGCTTCTCCAAAGCTTACACCACACCTTCCTCTGCAGCATCTCACTATAGCCCAACAATGTGCATGTTCATGACTGCCTCATCAAGCACTGCTCACCGGTGGGAACTCTCAGCGGGGCTTGGTTGTCATTATCAACAGTGGCCTCCCAGAGGACTTAGGATGCACCAAGGGCTCTTCCAATTCTTGAATGACCTCAAGTGTGGGCCAAGTCTGACTGACTTACTGGCTGTTTCTAATAAACTGATGTTTTGAATGGAAACTTAAAAAAATCAAAAACTGAGTGATTGAGTAATTTGTCACTTCACACAGATGCAAAATGAAAGTCTAAGATGGAGGCAGATTCAGTTATCTGGATGAGAGTCCCCCTTCTGGATTACCGATGACACGTTCTAGGATGCTGTGACCTCATGTGTGTGGGGGCTCTTATGTTTTTTTCCTTGAAGGACACCGATACCATGGGAATCATGTTAAAATCTACCCTTATGATCTTGTTTATATACCATCTCTCCCAAACTTCCATCTCTAAAGTTCCCCATTTTAGACTAAATCTTCAACATGAGAGTTTTGGAAGGACACAAGCATTCAGAACCAAACAGGAACATACTTTAGAATAAGTGTTTTTATTAACATTCACCATACATAATAATTGGTTTCATTATGGCATTTTTATACACACATATAATGTATTTTGATCACATTCATCCTCTACTATTTTCTCTTGTCCCCCTCCATGATCTTCCTCTGTGAAACTCATTTTTCCTCTTGAATGCTCAATAGGTTTAATTTCGGGTCCTAACAGAAGCATGGGCAACTTACTATCGGTCATACCACCGAAGAAAATCTGTCCCTCATTAGGTCACACACAGGCACCACCAAACCTGATGACCTGAGTTCCATTCCCAGTACTCACATGGAGGAAAGAGAACTGACCGCCATACACAGCAGTATGTGATGACACCCACACATCAAAATACAATTTTAAAAAGGTGTAAGTATAAACAGGGCTATTTGAAAGAGTAAATAAAAGGATTGACAAGTGTGGGAGTTATATGAGGGTTAAAGGGGAATATAATCAAAGTATGAAGAATTCATAATAAAACTCGTGCCATTTATGCTAATAACTTTTTTAAAAAGTTAACTCCACTAGCAACCATTAACCGCCTATAGATCTTCAGGGAGGGAGCCCTTCCCCGACCCTTGCAACCCTTCACTGGAGTGAGTGAGTGGCTGGCTGTCTCTACCACTCTAGACGGGGCCCAAAACTTGGGTAGATTTTGCAGGTACCACTTAAAATCCTGGCTCACATGAACCAGAACATGGGAGGTATGTCCATCAAGAGCCCAGTTCCTTTTGTTTTAGCACCTCTGAAAATAGCGATCCAAGAATCATCACTATGATGTCTTACAAATGAGGGATGGGAGGTGTCCTACATGGAGCTCAGGAAAGCCGCAGGAAACTCTCCTCCGAGGAAAGGAAGACTCTGCTTTACCTGTTTTCTAGCTTAACTTTTTTCTTTTAAATCATGAAACCTACTTTCTCTTGGAAACCTATATTCCTTAGAACACAGTGTAGAGCAAGAGTGGCAGTAATGGTGTTGGGCCACGGCTTACCTACAAGCCGCCAGTCGCGTTTCCAGTCCCCGCTCCCCTCCCAGTCTGACGCCGCTTTGCTAACCCTTCCTTAAGCGTCTCAAGAGGTAAATGTTAACTAGGGGTGGTGGCCGCAGCAGCAAGCGAACCTCTCCTCCCAGTACCTGGGCGTGTGGATCAGGACTAGTTTCAGGGCTACGGAATGCCCACCCACGAGCGGCGCTCGCCTCCCACCTCCGACACGCAGCCATCAAACAAAGACTCTCTTCTGGGAACCAATAGCATTCGCGGCCTCTTTCTAGCCCTCCAATCAGGTTCTAGGGTGTGGTCATCACGCCAGACTCCTTCGGCCTCCGACTGGCCGGCGTCTTCCTGGTACGAGAGGCTGTGACCAATCAACGCCCGTCAGTCCACTGCGCTTGCCCTAGGCTGGCGGCGCGAGCCGCACGGCCGGTTGAGGGAGGCGGGAGGTGGGCGTGGCGTCCGGCGCTGGCCCCGCCTCCTCGTCCTGCGGTCCTGGCTGGTCCCTAATATCTGGACACCCGTGGGAGCTAGAGATCCAGACAGGTGAGCCACGCGTCCGGCCGCCCTCAGGATGGAGTTCGTGAAGTGCCTAGGCCACCCTGAGGAGTTCTACAACCTGCTGCGATTCCGCATGGGAGGCCGGCGGAATTTCATAACCAAGATGGACCAGGTAGGCCGAGCATCCCTGTATCCTCGCGGGTCTGTGGCCGCTGCACGCACCGGAGATACCGGAGGACGGCCTCGGACGCCCTGGTCTCCTTGGAAGGCAGGGTCCCGCCCTGGGTCGCGCACCCCGGCTGGACCCTGTTGTCTTGACAGGGCCCGCCCTATCCCCCACCTGTTTTTAATAGTTTCTACTTGTTCAAGCCATTATTTTTCCTGAGCACTTTGGCTACGCACTTTGTTCTCCTAAACTTGGGGGTTTATTTTTACTCCAAAGGCTGCGTCCTAAAATTGAAATTAGACAGAGAGACAGGGTTGAGAAAATTTTCATGAACATAAGGAACCCTGTAGGAATTATTATATACCTGTCTCTTCTGGAATGAAAACTTAACTCCTGCCCACTCCTTCCAGTTTTCAGACACATCACCTCCCCCATACGCTTTCTCACCTTCCTGCAGCCACTATTTTCTTCCTGGGTGCTTCCTACGTTTTTCTGTTGTGGGCACATAATATCCAAGTTCTTACTAGCTATTGGCTGCTGGAAGGCTAGGACTTTATTTTTGTTTGTATTTCATCGAACTGTATGTACCCTTTGTTAAATGTGTGCTTTTATGATGATTAGTCTAACAAAGGTATGTAATTGTTGCATGAATGCACATCCAGTTGAATTAATTAATGGATTACATCAAAGCCTTAAAATTTCCCACTGTATGTTATTTAAAGGTAGTTGTTGTTTTGTTTTTTGAGACAGGATTTCTTTGTGAAACGGTCCTGGCTGTCCTGAAACTCACTTTGTAGATCAGGTTGGCCTCGAACTCACAGAGTTCCGCCTGGTGGGATTAAAGGCATGCACCACCATTGCCCAACTTAAAGATATTCTTGATCGGTGTCCTTTATTAACACACTTTAATTTTCTCAGAACACAGAATCCTCATTTTTAAAGATTTAGCTCTGATAAGTGCCACCCCTCTGCCATTCAGCAGACACCTGCACTGTGATTGATAGGTGCTGGGTAAAGCATGGGTGTCAATGTAGCATAGACAGGACTGTCAAAGAAACAAATGCAAAGAGTGCATATCAAGGGAGAAGAATGCACAGTTGTCAGATTCTTGCAAGGATAAGTGACAGTAAGCAAAGAAGCTCTGCTTTATAATCCAAGTCTTTTGGTCTTGTGACACCTCCAGTGATAGGTAGTTCACTTCCTCTGGGGAGGACAGTTTACTCCGTTCTCCAGTCAACTGCTGATTCCATCTTGTCAGGACCCTTATAAAGTGTCATAAAATTGTTTTGTAGAAACCTGAGGAAGTCCAGCCTGTGAGGTTCACTTACCTGCTTTCTC